GAATTTCAAATGATATGAATATCTAAAACGAATTCACAGATTGTCATTTGAAACGTAAGGATTGACATCATTTGAAACGCTAGGATTAGGCTCATTTTTGCCATTTGAAACGCTAGGAATGGGCTCATTTGTCATTTGAAACGTAAGAATTGGTCTCATTTGAAACGTTGGGATTGAACAGATTAAAACAGATTTTAGTCAAATAAAACTGACACCAAAGTGCCTCTATAACGTAGTGTCGGCCATTACAAGTCCTTGAAAATTTGTAAATAACGTTTGTAAATGAATTGTGCTATTGATTGTTTTCGCTTACACCAGTACATTTGTCTTTGGACGTTATGAATGTCTTAACTTGCGATAATAGACGAATAATAGGATGGCAAACACAGCGCTACCTTCCTTATATCACTACTACCTTTCTTACAATGTCGAGTAATCTCAGGAACAGAATGATGCATTGATTATTCATTGTTGCCGTAGTAATCTTTAATTTGTGATTTATGGTAATAATTTTTGCTTATTAACCGTAAATAACTAGAGCTATTTTTAAACACTGTTGCTAAAAGAAGACGTTATTAAAGCTTTCTTACAGACAATATTATAATGTCCCGCCTAGTTTAGCTAAAGTCAGGACAATTATTTCCTTTTAAATCTTCATAGAAGTTGCATTCAATATACTTTTTAAATACTTTAAACCAAAGATGGGGCCAATCTTTGATGCAATGATGTATATTTATTTTATTAATCTGATTAAAATACATGCACAGATATATATATATATATATATATATATATATAATTTCGCTTCGTTTTTTTATACTTTCGATGACCTCCACAACATGAAGAACTGATCGGTTGTTGTGGGAGATTGTGTCGGGGGTCATACGAGCGGCTTTTTACCCTATAACGTCAGACATTTGATTAACCAATCATTGTTGATGTTTTAAGTGGGTAACCCACAACGGACAATTCCATTGGCTAATCCCCCCACATCAAGCAGAGCGTGGGTTATATAACAACTCTTCCAGATCCTAGTGAAGTGAAGGCAAGTAAAACGAAATTTTGAACTATAAAAAATAGGATCTGTGTTTTAATGAGATTGTATTTTTATTCAATGAATAGTTTGAAGGGTTGAGTAAAATAAATGTATTATATTTTCGATTACCCTATAGGTCATTGATACCATGGCCTAGGGCTCATTGATTTTAGGGTGTAGTGCAGTCTTTAAGACAAACAAAAACCATCGGCAAAGAGTTTGCATGTAAACCACCAAAGGTTTCGTTACTTGCAGCGCTCGACAGAACAACCTTCTCTATGAATTCTTTCCCATTATTTTTAACTGGCCGCACTAATAACCAGCATGGTCAAACAAGAAAAAAATAATAATGCTGGCACGCAAACCAACATAGAATAGGAAGTGTAGTATTTGTAAACAGTGAAATGAATGAAATGGGGTTTAACGTCCTACTGTTCTACTCCGACTGGGCTAATGAAGTCGGGCATATGCCGATGTACCTACACTTGATGGTACACGGCGAACGGCACCGTGGACGCGCCTCCCTTTGTAGAAGGGTCCAGGGTGCTCTAACCCCAGACAATTTGGAAAATAGGGTTTGCACCTGAGGAGAGGAACTATGGAAAGGACGGAAAATTTTGAGGCTGAATTTGCGATATTGGCGCATTATGATATTTTGATATGTATATTATAAAAATTTGAAGGTAAGAATGCCTTTTGCGTACCTATAATAATTTATGAGAAAAACGAAAAGTTTGGAATCGGGTTAGAGTCCGACTTGTTCGAATTTTGAAGATTATCACGCCTGAATCAATCTCATCCCGAGCGTGAATTTGACTTGGAAATTTTCCTACCATCTCAAGTTGGCTTTCTTATGGTAGATTTCTTCGGTATGTGGTCGGTTTGTTGGTTGGGCGCCAATCTAATTAAAATATAGATCTATATTTCGTTTCGTTTTTTATACTTTCGATGGCCTACACTACATGTAGATCTTACAAGTTATAGTGGGAGTTCACGATCTATGACGTCAGGTACAAAGCAAGTGACATTTGACCCGATTATATCAGTCTTTCGATTAACCAATTAGCGACCGCCATGTATTTTTTATCTACTTTTGCTTTGTTTTGATTTCTATTGCCGCCACAGTTCCGCGCAAAAAAGGTCAAACGCTCGATTCGACAGACCATTTGATTGGCTGACCCCTCATTTCAAGCAGAACACGAGTTAAATAACAACGCTTCCAGATCCAAGTGTAGTAAAGACAAGTAAAATCGAAATTTTGAACTATAAAAACGAAACGAAATTGGATCGGTGTTTTAATCGGATTGGTTGGGCGCCCATGATCTCGTTGTGGGCGCTCCACCAGTCTCTGCTTACGGGCACCCCTCCAGGATGAGGTATTCTACCAATCATGCCGTGGGTCCCCATGATCTCGTTGTTGGCGCTCCACCAGTCTCGGCCTTACGGGCACCCCTCCAGGATGAGGTATTCTACCAATCATGCCGTGGGTCCCCACCAATTTTTTTTTTTTTTTTTTACAAGCAATCTTTTATTCAGATTTGTATCTGAATAGGGATTGGGGAACAGGCATAGCCTATATTAAACCCCTCTCCCTGTCAGATATAGATACATGTATTTACATTTTAGAAATAGATAATCAATGTACACGTGCAAGTATGATTATAGTGAAAATATATTTACAATGAGTGTTTATAGTTGTCCCTGGAACCGTCTGGTGATTTCGAAGAACGAGTGGACAGTTTTAAAAATATTGAGCGTGTTTTCCACGTCGTCAATTCCGTGCAATAAAACAGTAGTGTTTCGATGAATAGTCGATAAATTATTTATTGTTTTATTTCGGGCATCTGAATATAAGGAGCAATTCAATAAAATATGATCAGTGTCTTCAAATTGATGTCCACATTTACAGGATGGATTGTCAGAAATGTGACGTAAAACTTTATGTCCGTTTAGACTTGGCAAGAGAGACGCAGTTTAGAATGAATGGTTTGGTTTGTGCGGGATCCAAACGAAAAGGTTTTTGGTGGTGTTGAATCTTGAGCCATAAGTTTCGAATTGAAAATATTTAGAGATAATGAATTTTTTGTACCTGCACTTAATTTGTTTCATTCTCTAACTGACGATGGTATGAAAGAATTATAGAAAATATTTGTTTTACATTTATATTCAGGTAGGCATGTGTTTCAGAGATTATAATGTGCGCTTTTTGTCAGTATTAAATCATGAAGATAAGATGGAGAAAGGCGGTTTATAATTTTATAAATGAGTTTGAGTTTATGTCTTCTGCGTCTCTCTTTTAGCGTAATAAAACCGGTTTCTTTGTACCGGTACCCCTTACAGCACCACATATGGACCTAAGTGCATCCAGTTGTAGGTGCTCTAATTTGTTAGCTAGTTGGTCTGTGCAGTTGTCCCAGATGACGTCACAATAATCAAAATGAGGTAGGATGAAGGTGGTATAGATGGTTTGTAATGATTTACCAATTTTAACTCGGCATTATGCATTACGTGCGGCCTGACAATCATATATTGTCATTATAACGCGTCCCACCAATCATGTCATTTTAGGCACCCCACAGATCACGCCATTTTGGGAGCCCTATCAATCAAGTTGTGGTGTTAATCGTGTGATTCGTTATGAAGCGCCTCATATATATAACGATATGATTGGCGATGCACCCATAAAACCAATCTCGTCGTTGGCGCCCAACCAATGTCACTCGGCTTTATGTGGGCACGTTGGTCGTTTCCTTCGTATTGCTTCCAATGGAAATGTTTCCAAGGGGGAGGGGGCGCGGCTGCTCCCCTTGATCCCCCCACCCGCTAGCGCTAGCTACGGGCCTGGATATACAGTGTGCTATGGGGAAATTTTGCCCGGACACATACACACGCGTCTTATGTCCCGATAGAAAAATAACTTTTTTAGTTCAAGCCTCTAGTAATATTTCTGTTAGTTGGATTTTTCTCTCCATCACAGAGCTCGGTTTTTCCTTTGTTTTTTTACAACATAAAGTCTTGTGTTACTCTAAGTAGAAAACGATATAATTAGCGTTCCCATCTTTAGCTGTGATGAATAGCTTCTTTCAGTAAAACCCTTTTAGTATTCTATCTGAAGACGTCTTCAAAGTAGCGAATGCAAAACCATCAGTTAGTTGTTTTATTTTTTTCATATCCGACGAAATAAAACTATAAACAATTATATTTCTGTAAAAACAAATTTCTAAAACCCCTCTAGGTCTACTTAAATTCTGTTCAGTTCGCAATTTGATTTGAAATCGTTTCAATGACATTGGGAAAATGAACTGGAATTACGCAGGAAACAATAGTATGGAAACTGTTATCATGTAATTACTGGGCGACGCTTTAAATTGTTTCCTATTGTCTTGGTTAGGCAAATGCTGATCCATCGTTCAGTAATAATTATATTCTTTTGAATTGCGTACTTGGTATCTGAGCTTAAGATACGTGTATTTAAAACTATACAATTATTTTGTTTACAAAGTCATATTGTGGGACAAATTTGAAATCCCAGTGTGCCCAGTGAATGTAAATGTATATTGTAGGAGTGTGGGGGGCTGTCTATGTGCAACTGCTTAATGTCAAAATGTTCATAAAGCCACAACAAGACAGATCTTTCACATACATGTATTTGTCAAACATGCACTCTTTTAATTTAAATTTGTTAGTATTTAAATAACTGGGGCGCTTAGAGTATAGAGTAAAACAACTGGACTGGGTTGTACCAAAGCGATATTAGAATTATTATTTTTCATATTTCTAAATATAATTCTCGATTCCTAAAATATTTCAATCAGTCATGAACCGGAAATTATTATTGGGAAACACCAACAGAAAGGGAACTATCAACTATATGGTAGGATGTACCCGACAAAAAATAAACATTTTGTTTCATGACCAGATTATACAAACTATCATATTTATATTTTCGACATTTTTTTTTCAGAATGGAGTTGCTGGTCCGTTTTGGTATGCTGTTGGTATTATGATTAATATATTTATATTTCCTATATTATCAGTACAGTTTAAAACACGAGCACCTGGAGCTAAAACTTATCTTCAGGTAAGTACTTATATTTATTTCCTGGGCCCACGATCCCAAGCCAACATACGTTTAGAATTACATTTATTTATTTATTTTCCAAGAGGGATATCAAAGATGACAATATAGATGATAATATAAAGTTACATGATAATAAAATGAGAATGTTTTGATGAGAGAAACAGTAATGATGTCATGAATGATCAGCTTCTTGAGGTTAACCCATAAAAACCTGCTTAAATAAAAACTTTGTTTATTTCCAATGGGGTGCTATACATCTGTAAACTAATCGTGCGTCTAATGGAGTGCTAGTGATGAAAACTATGTCGACACCATGACGATAATGAGCATTTTGTCGTTCAGTTTAATCAAAGGAATAAGAACTTTGATTGGTAGACAATTTATAAAAAGAGAGAGAGAGAGAAATGTGGTTTAACGTCCACTCGACACAAACTAGGTCATTTCGGGACTAACATATGGTTTAATTTTATTTACATAATTCGCTTGCACGTAGATGTCTTTAGCAGTGGGAGGAAACCGGGGGACCCGGAGAAAACCCACGAGGTTGGACAGGCGACCCTACTCCTTGCCACGTACAACCGGGGATTCGAAACCACGCCAGTCGACTCAATGACAGACTTTATGATACAGCGCGCGCACGCTAACCATTCAGCCATCCGACCCCCCTTATAAAAAGATAAATGTGCATGTAATTAATGAATATTATATATATATTATTATTTTTTTTCGGATTAAGTCGGAGAACATTAGTCTTACGGGTAGCTTGATGCAACAATTTCGTACCATAAAACTAAATTTCTTTTAAACTAAATGTTTATTACCCCCTCTATCTATTCTAATCTAGAATAAAGTTTATCCCGTGAATAATGAATAATCTCAACAAATTAATTTCTTGGTATTAAATCCCCAAAATATGTTAATGGACATGGGTAATTCTTCACTTGGGTCAAATGTTTATGAACCCCTTTAAGTGTTTTATTAGTATTAATTATCTAGTATTAAAGTCTAGAATGGAATTTACTCAGTTAATAATTGACAAATTTAAAAAGGAATCGCGATCGGTTGTTTTTGAAATGATGTGAGGATTATAAAATGCTCCTTTGTGGTAGCCTGATTTTTCTAGGAATGTTTCTGAAATGATGTGAGAATTAATGCTTCTTTGCGAGGGCCAGATTTTTCCAGGAATGTTTATCCAACCCGTTATCTACATAGCACTAGTATTAGGAACTAAAATCTAGACTGAAATTAACCTGTGAATAACTGAATTGCGATCGGTTTGAATATTAAATCTTATTTTTGGTAGCGAATCCTGCAGTGTTTTCTAGGACGACGGTCCACTAAGAAAGTTATTTGTTAATGTAAGATTCTCGATTTACTGTTTCTATATTGTCTCTAATTCGCATATTATATGTAGTTGTATTCAATTGTAGCAATTTGGATCAATGGCGTGTTAATAGAACAATATACTTGAGTGGTCAATATCTTTATATACTTGTATTTATAAACAAATCTTTAATTACCATGATTACCAATGATTAGACAGATGAAGATCGATAGCAGATCAATAGCAACATTATGTTTTATGACTTGAACACTTCGATGACATTGCGAAAAGGACAACGAGTGGGGACAAAGAATGTCTGCAATAATATTTAAAATCCTATTATAGCCTAAAGATAATCGAGCTATTTTATCTATCGGCTGTCTTTCAGGAAGTACTTTTGTCAGGATTTAAATAGCATGACTTCAAAAAGAATTATACCATCTATCGAAACTTGTTTTATTTCAGATATGGTTGTTCCAATAAGGTGGGGGGTGGATAAAATCATAATCGCATTGTTATCATAACGTGATAACAAAAGTCGGTAACATTAATTTTGATGTTAAGCCTTGTCAAAAATTTCAGGTATTTGACCCCAGGGCACTACGTTGAGCAAACCGGTGCCAATCGTAGGGATCCGTGACCAGAACTAAGTGAAACCGGGTTGATCTTTCTCGGTGTCATTACTGTCTTCTCCGATGTCGCCACGGTTCATCACATTGTGGCCATCGATAAAATATATAAAGCCCTATTCAAACCTTGAAATACTATGATGATACCGTAGTGGTACCGGGATGGACAGTGGCCTACCGTGGACAACCGTGCTAATAACTCTAGTAGTACACACAGTTGTCGTGGCTGCATCGTAGTAAACCGTGGCACCGCGTCCATCCCGGGCACCGTAGACAAACCATTGACTGTGTACTACCGCTTTTTCCGCCAAAATAGCTTCCGTTTGAGAACCCGGGTAGACCATGGTAAAATTCCGGGAAGGTCTGACATAGGCTTTACCCGGCCACTATTAACCACAGCAAGCACAAGACTGTAACGCATATAGTATTGACAATGGCCGCTCTTTTGAAATATTTATAAATTATCAGTACGTACGTGGGCACCGATAAAAATTGATTCCTATGTTAGATACACTCTTCAGTTGCTTGTAGCAAATACACAAATATTTAAAGGAATGTCGCTTTAACACTTGAGTTGACATCCTTTATTTAACCAGAGTAGTCTAAATATACGTGTCTATACTAAGCCAGACAGAGTCGATACTTATGACCTATAGTTAAATATGAAATATGATTGCTTTGAGATGCTGCGAACAGAAGGAAAGGATAGGCTGTCTTTCCGGTTAGTCCCACTCCCCGTCTCTCCGCAATCAACAACACGATATAAACTTCTCCGATGACCGAGGGTTTTAAATGTGTTAAAAGAATTAAATATAGTATAGTATTTGTAAATCTAGTCGCACTTTTTACAAACGGACCGGGTGGAGTAGCCTAATTGAGATGATATTTATTCAAGACGAGGATTCACAGAATGTTTAAAACTACGTTGGTGATTCCTTACTTTGTTAGTCCAAAACCGATTTAAACACTCTCGTAATAATGGAAGCCGATGATGGTTATGACCATAAGGTTTCATAGACGCGCCCAAGCTTTGTTTAATCAATTCACTTATGAAGTTCAACTATCACCAGCGGCCTGACCGAATTTTAGTAAGATGGGCGATACTTAAATTGTATAATTACATTGAATACTCTGGAACAGGAAATGTATTTTTTATCCGAATAAATAACACTTTGTATCCAAGATATGATTTTCTAGAAAAACAAAATTGACGCCCGAAAACATTTCTGAATGATTAAATATGAGGATTATTGTTCAAATTGATGAAGCACACTTTATCCGGCTTTTAAAGGCCTTAAGCAATACCTTTTATGAGCAGGACTCTAATTGCAATGGTAATGGACGCGGTTCTTAAGAAGGTAAAAATAAATTTCGAAAGAGCGTTTGATTTCGTGTCACCCACATTCAAGTACGGAAATAGTTTGTTTTCGTCGGTTAAATCTGACAGGAAGCCACTAGAAACATCAAAAAACTATCGCTAGTCTTTTCCTATTGTTATTAGAAGTCTTTAGCGCCACATCCACCCAGTCTTAAAATAGTCAATATAGCTATAAGGCCCCTTGTGACATTGATTTATCGGACAGAATGAATGGGGCTCTGTGCTGAAGATTCTTTATCGGATGAAATCTCTTTGAAACGACTTCACCACTGGACAAGTGTCAGCAAATGAGAAAGATTTGTCCGCTAATATTGGACAAAGGTACCTAATCCACTAAAAATCCATGAAAGCACCAATCTACTTCTGGTGAATGTAGTAAGCGGCCTTGACAGGTTATTAAGCCTTTAATGAAAAGCGTCAGACAAAGAATGACTCGGATGGGTCAATTTCTCCTTTATAACAACACGACGGAGCAGACGTTCTGTCAAAGGTAAACGACTCATAGAGAACTTAACAGACATATCTGTCCTGTTGCCATTGGAATTATTATTTGCTCCAGAACATGCATTTATTCATGCTTAGAATAGATGTTTGTAGTATGCGTAGAAAGTATTTAATCGATATTTTTTTTTTTTTTTTTGAGCTTGGTTTTTTTTTTGGTTCGGGTGGAGTCCAGCTAGTATTACTGAAAATCTCGGTTTAATATTAACCGTAAACGCAATAAAACAAACACAAAATTTGACAAACAATCAACGATTTAATTGACAGAAAACTAGAAACAAATGAGCAAGAATCATGAAACCATGGATATTTGAGAAAGTATAGTGGTCGAAGAAGGGGGTGTCTTCAAACTTCTAATACGATGCATAGGCTTCGCTTAAAGATATTCTGGGGTCAGTTTGGAATTACTTGTGTCCAGAACGGTATTAATATACAACTGTCAATAAATCAACTGACACAAAATCAATTGGCCACTGTTGATATTATATCTTAGATCATTTTAAAAAATGTAATCTCGCTTATCTGTACTGGGTCCAAGTTGAATGCGTTAGAATCACATTATAAGTAATGTGGATCTTTTAAAACATTGAATTAGGTTGATACGATGTGTAATATAAATTATCAAAGATGCTATAATAGTTCAAAAATAGATAATGAAAATTCATTCAGATGACTTTATTCAGAGATTTGTTTGAAGTTTTGTAGCGTAGACTGTTTATTGTCTTAGCAATAGTGCTTGAGTTGACAATCGTTAAATTTTTCAATTCTGGATTTTTTTAATCCATTTAAATTTTAGCCACCCGATGGTCCATTGGATTGATTATAGACATGTCGTGTTCATAAATATTTAAATAATTTATATAACATTTGAAGCCAAAATAAAGACCTGAAATAGGCAGATTTAGCTCTACATAATGCATCTTTAAGCTACAAAGGATTCCATTATTGTTCAAAAGCAGAAGTGGACCTGTTCACTAAATTGTGTCAAAGAATAACACAAAATCCGTTATATCGTAACACTGACTTTATATTAGACTATAGCAATCGTCGAAAACCCATCAAAATGGGCTTGGATGGCCCAATGGTTAGCGTGTGCGCGGTGTAATCATAAAATCTGTCATTGAGTCAACTGGCGTGGTTTCGATTCCTCGGTTGTACGTGACAAGGAACAGGATTGTCTGTCCAACCTCATGGGTTTTCTCCGGGTCCTCCGGTTTCCTCCCACTGCTAAAGAACCCTACGCGCAAAGGAATTATTGAAATAAAATTGAACCATATGTTAGTCCCGAAATGACCTAGTTTGTGTCGAGTGGACGTTAAATCCCATCTCTCTCTCTCTCTCTCTCTCCCCCTCTCTCTCTCTCTCCCCCTCTCTCTCTTATAAAAAACAATCTCTTGGCTTTTGACTTAAATCAAGCAGGTTTAGTCCATGGGCAACCACCTTTGAAAATAAAGGTATAACTTACTTTCGATTTTAATCGAAACTATTGCACTCGTTGATCTCTAATTATTACATTTGATTTGATGTGATTATCGACATTTGTTTCTATTTTTAACTCAAAATCTCTATTAAGAATTATGACTTCTTGTTACATGTCTTCTGGTCCGATAAAGAAGTCAATCGTTTTTTAGAACACCCGTAATTAGAAGACAGTGTTATTTAATGCTGAGCCGTTAGCTACTTTTGGCAGGAATCACCTCCCATTTAGCAACCGCCCAGTTCTGCGGCCGACGAACCCACAGGCCAGTATTTTGGACAAGATTGATCATGATTTCGATGGGAGGAGAAGAAGCTAAGACGGTATAAAGATCAACTGGGGAGTTGTCCCTGTTGGTGGTCGTTCATCCGACGGTACTTACAAGTGGATACGAGTTTCAATAGAAAGCTACCTTTTAGTGTTCATAGAAATAGAACAAACAAAGATGTTCCTTTAACGAGAGAAAAAAGAACGTCAATATGTACTTAAATAAACAAAAACAGAGTTCTAAAACATATTTGTATTCCTTTTAAGGAACAGATCCTAACTAAGTAACCTTTTATCATCTTATAGATTAAAGACGTTCCAGTCGTTGTCTATTTCTTAATAGATAAACATTGTTTTAATCTTAGTTTGGATCCATCCTCTTTTAATACAAAAAATCTTCTCAATCAATGTTTAATTTGTTCATTTGTTCGTCACATTGATTATAGTTCGATCAATAGGCAGTAAAAATCACGCTGCTGAATCGATCAATTAGCACAATTAATTAATAATCAACGACAAAGAGAATATAATAGCTCAAATTAAAGTTGATATATTTCCGAGTGTGCATACATTGGGTGGGTCTAAAACCGTGATTTGGATCGATGTGAAAAGTAATACAAAGAAGCCAACAAATACAATGCGTAAGGTCATCTTCGTCCACGTACATTAGTTCCAAGGAGGGTGTGTCTGCCCAAACAAAAAAAAAACAATTCCGATTGTCTTAAATTACGATGTTTAATTTTAAAGAAAAACAAAGGCCGTTCTCTTTTTGATGAACTTAAAGTAATTCCGCTGTTTTTAAATTACCAGATGAACCTACAATGACAACTCAAAGTAAAGAGTCACGCACACTTTGAAATAACTTATCTTATTCTAAATTATTTATGAGAAATTTTAACAGGGAGATTATATTAGAAAGCCCTGTGGTAATTCTAGAAAAATTCAAACCCGTTTACGTGAAAATGATAAAGAGGCCCTGACAGATTCCTTTATTCACACAACAAGCCTATGATCAACTTTCTAGATATAGATTAGAACAACCGCAAGATTTTAAAAACTATGTTTCGATTGCCAAGTATCGTTGTTACGATAATAAACAATCTACGCTACTTCGTTAAACAGTCATAATAAAGTAATTTAAATGAAATTTTCAATATTTTCATTTGACATCATCTATTTTTGAGCTATTATAGAAAGATCAGTCAGCTCTTTATCTAAATCTTACAGAATGCATCTTACTAAAATCGTAGAGCCAGGGACATGAACAGGGACACGTCAGAACCATTTGATATAGTGGGGGGTTTTTTTTGGTTTTTTTTTTTGGTTTTTTTTTTTTTTTAGGGGTGGGGGGTCCAAATCCATTTAGATTTCTTGATTAATATCATTAATAAAAAAAATCCTTCATATTTCAGATCATCCATGCCAGATTTGGAAAGTCAGCCCATATATGTTTCTGCTTTTTTGCTCTGCTGTGTAACCTGGTTATTACAATTGGTGTACTACTAGCTGGTAGAGCTACTATCCAGTCTCTCACTAAAGATGCTTCGGACGAGTTCTCGGTCCTCATCATGGCGACGTTGTTTGGTTCCTATTCTTTGATTGGTGGATTGGGAACTACCTTTTATGTGTCATATTTCAACGCCTGTTTGGTTTTCATCCTATTAATCGTGTTTGTCGTGAAAATTTTACACAATACGGAGAGTGAATTTGACACTATTGGCAACTCGGAGAACATGTACAAAGCTATATCGTGCATTCACGGACCGGAAGAAAACAACGAAAATAGTTTCCTCACCTTTCGGTCAAATGTGGCGTTTTTGTACGGTGTGATTGAGGTGTTTGTGTCGTCTGCTGTTACTTATTGTGATCAAGCTTCCTGGCAGAGTAGAATTGCCGCCAAACCAATACAGGGAGTCTGGGGTTTTATACTGGCTGGGTTGATATGGTTCTCTATACCCTCAACTATGGCCACCACAACAGGAATGGCGTACCTAGCTCTCAGTTCTAGTAATGGAAGTCATCTACTGACTCGAGGACAGATAGATGAAGGTAAGGCTACACATGTCCTTCAATGTAGGTTTACAATTTGAGAATGTTCCTGTGCTCGTAAATAAGAGATGAGAGTTCTCAAACCAGAAATTGTATGACCTTGCTTTTATAAACCGTCTTAATGTTCATTTATAAGTGTATTTACCAGAATGGATAACGTGCGTCTTGTTACGAACATACTTCAGTGATTTGTCAGTAAAAAACTTAGTAGTACCCATCTAGTTGAAACATTTTAAATCATAAACCCTTTCTTAATTCTCTTCTGTATAGGTCTAGTGACTCCTTTGATAGCTGAGAAGATTCTCGGATCTGCTGGTGGTATTCTAGTGTTAACTATGGGAGCTATGGCGCTTATGTCTACAGGATCTGGTGAAGTCATGGCTATATCTTCAATCATCGTGTACGATATTTACCAAACATATCTAAAACCATTCAGGTAAGATTTGTTAAATTTATGATAGACATTTTGGGTGCAAAATCTTGCAAGCGGTACATATAAATTAAAGGGGAATTAACGCTATCTCCAATAGGTCAAAATAACTGGAAAATCGAACCTCTGACCTGCTTTAAGTAAAGTATATTTTACTCGTTGAACACGAGGAAAATATTTATACGTCTCTAACTCAGCAATAGTTTGACATAATGTTCTGCCAATTGCTACGTTAAAGCATCTCTAACTCAGCAATAGTACTAATTCCTCTTTAAAAGCGCCAGTTTGAACTTGATAAATACACATGCAACAAAACTTAGTGTTTCCATACTAAGCAGTTGTTCTTCTGAACATTATTCAAAATTTGGACAAGATTTCAGAAACTTTGGGGTGTTATTTCATGATTGTAATTTACAGAAATGCTCTTGAGAGTGCCCATTGTGTGATCTGTGGCAAGACCAAGAAAGAAGTAGCCAAGAGACAGAGAGTAGTGGCTGAGTTTGTGTGTGATTGTATGGATGCTACCAAATGCCCAGGATGCTTAGAAGATCTGCGGAAACGGGCGTTAAAGGGGTCATACTCGGAGAAGCAAAACTATCAATGTCCCACGCACGGAAGGTAAATTACATTTTATGTTGAAATGAAATGAAGCGAAATGAAATGGGGTTTAACGTCCTAATGAAGACGGGCATACGCCATGCAGTGTGCTATGAGTGGAATTAGCGCATGCCCACGACCAACGGTGCTTTTACGTGCACGCCAATGTGTACATGGGACCTGGGTTTTTCGTCCCGTCCGAACGGCTATTGAAGCTCCAACATTCCAGGGGAGCCGCTATGGCTCGATGGGTATGACAATGATTCATTAAACAGAAAGCCTTGGTTCGATTGTTGGTGTTGGGCGAGACAGTTACGCAGCATTTTCCAGTCTGTTTCTCCTGTCAAAGGTGCTGGGCGGATAGGCTAGCAAGGAATGACATCTTGTCGTTCAGATGTGAAAAAAATATCGGCATCCGGCGTACATTGCATCACGTATGCCCGCCTTGTCTTCATTAGCCCGTTTAGCGCAGACAGACTATTAACCGTATTTTATTTCATTTCCGGTTTCACAAACCATCCTCAGACTTACGTTAAGAATTTACTCAACTTTCAATAACTGTTCATGAGAAAATCGTTGAGGTTTTCTTTAGCTTGTTCTTTATCCATCTCTTGTCAAATATGGGCCTATCTTGCCTGGCAACCACTGGTTTTATATATTTTAGTATAAATGTTCATGAATAAAGCCCCTGGTCCATACATTACTATCGTACTCCGCCAATGAACAATCAGTTTGCAAGTTTCTTAATATATTTAAGTTTACGTTTTCATGAATAAGGCCCCTGGACCATATATTACTATCATCCTTGTTTATAAAGTTCACCGTGTACTTTGTTTCAGGTTTAGAGAATACAATGAGGTTCTGATAGAGTTTAAAAACTGGTGTATTGTATGGGTGACCATAGCCATTGTACCATTAGGTCTCATTGTGTTTGAATCTGGAATAGATTTAAATTGGATCTTCTATGTGGGAGCTATAGTTACTATACCCTGTTTTCCACCGGTTCTGCTCTCCATTCTATGGGTGAAAGCTACTGGAAAGGGTTTGATTGCTGGTAAGTTAAGTTTGAATTACCCGTTTCCAAGGATGTTCGTCATTTGTCTGGTTGGGGACAGTGTGTTTGTCTTGTGTCCGTTGATTTGAACTGGAAAACAAAAATTTAATTGCAACTAATGTGATCATCCCATCATCCCACCACTTATAACGTGCCATGTTTTAGAAAACATATATGTATTGAAATTTAATTCATGTTTTAATGTATGATAACAATTTAACTAAAAAGTCGTTCTTCTCATTAATAGGTTGTATCTGTGGATTAATTTGTGGAATAACAGCAACACTGGGAGCGGCAACCATGTATGAAGGTGGCCTAAACAATTTCTTGATCAACACGGTACAGGATTACGCCATATTGGCCGGAACCTGTTGTAGTTTTGGAGTCAGTCTTATTGTCTGCATGATCGGCTCATACCTCACGCACAAGATACAGACGAAAGACGACGAAGAGTGCGAATGGTTTAAAATGTACGACATCGACAACCCCCTCAATCCATGGGAAGTCAACTTCCGGGAAGATTTGAAAGGCATGAGCTACGATACGCGGCCATCATTTGAGCAGATGAGCAAAGCGTTTCGCACGGCTAAACTTACAGCCTACGCTGCCGGAATATGTTGCATTATGTTGTTCGCTGTCATTATTCCAGGAATAATGGCCAGTTTTCCGTTAATGGACCAGACGCAGTTTTCAATGTGGCTTACCTTTACTCAAGGTTGGGCCGTTGTTATGGCGATCATCGTTATTGTAGCGCCCCCTACAGAGGAGATAATGAGGATCGTGAAACAGTGTCGTAAAAACCAGGGACTTAGCAATCAGCTTATAAAAAGCCCGATACCAGAGCATAACGAAATGACAGTGACAACTAATGATTATTTACTGGGTAATAATGAGACTCCAACACATGTTTGAGTTGAGAGATAATTTTGAAGATCCGTGGACGATATTTATAAGAACAAAGAAGTTAAGCATATTAAACAACACATATCTGCAATAACGCATGTACAAAAGTGATTCGACGCAATGGACCTTTTGTCAAAGGCGGTTTAGTGTAAAATTTGGAATGGACAAACATCCATCTAAATTGTTATAATAGCATATTATGTCTTCATCAATTCTGATTTAATGAATCGTTATTAGCTGTTGGATATGTGAGATATACTGGCGGTATCGTACATATATTGACGGGAAATTTCTCAATTTGTTACAGTGTACATGTAGTTTAGGAATTACGTACTGAGCAACGTTTCTGAAAAAAAATAAGAGTTTAGTCACTGAATGGGTTATGTACTATTGGTGTTTTAGATAGACTTTGCATGTCTCCATATTAATCAGGAATTAATTGTTATATTTGTTTAAGTTTTTTTAATTAGAAATTTTAAAAATACCCATTAACTTGGATCAGAAATTCTTAGAATACCTATTAGAAATCGACATGGGTCTGGAATTTGTAATCTATTAATAGATTTACTAGTGTGCACCACCATGTCCCGAATCTACTTTTTGTAATATAAAATTATATTGATGTTAATCTACCAGATATTAATATAAATATACCTTCCTATATATATCTACTACAATATAGGCGAAATCTAAATTGAAACGACATGTAGCAACGTAATATAATAATGTATTTACTAGTATGGGGCACAGTAATGTGTTGATATATACAGTGTTGTAATGTAAATCTACATGGAATTTTATCTACATGATAGACATCTACCATAAGTTATATTATATACCTTCATATGATACAATGTAGAAAATCTGACTTGATATCAATCTACTTTGAAATTGGATTATATTATAGACCTTCATATGATAAACATTTATCATAATGTAGAAAGTCTAGCTTGAAAATATAGAAATCTTCTTTTATTTGAATCTACTGTTCTAAAGAAGAAATTTAATAAAACATGACCTGTTCTTGTAATAGAATAGAACAAAGAGGTAGATAATAGAATGAAGTAGAAATTCACCTTGTATGTTTATATATAAATGTAAAATGTATCATTTGTTTGTGCATAAATAATATAAGACACACACCCACCACACCTAGTATATTTTAATGTTAATGTTTCTAAGTATTACATCAATCCATGCAAGACGAAGGCGGGGCCTGATTTTTAGAATTACTAGACATTAGTGAAAAACGTCAATGGCAACAGTTAGGCAAAAGTAATTTTATGAAATAAATTTAATGTGTGCGTACAAGCAATTTTTTCAGGGATTGGTACCGCTGATTATGTACTATTCAAAGCGACGAATAGTTCGTTGTCACCGGCGAAAAAAATCGATATCCATTGACGTCGCAATAACGCACACGTAAGATATTTTACTAGCAATGATTCTGAACTACGACAGAAGGTTTTTAAAGGCAAACCTCAAAAAATTAAATCAAGTTCGTAAACGATCCGTGGAAGCCAACTGAAGTGCAAAAGTCTGTCGGCTATTGCTGCGAATCAAAACTCTTGAACGCCTCAAAAAGAAATCTGATCTTCTCATCATTTCAGACATTAGCCTGTGAGCATCTTTCATATAATTGAAAAGAACGGAATCTGTACAAATTCCAATTTCTCATTAAAAATCAATTGTTTTTTTATCTATCTAATGAAACTATTTTATTGTTTTTGTCTGTTTCTTGGGGCTATTTCTCATTTTGAGTTTTAGTGCGGTCTTATGGCAGTATAATCACAATGAATGGCTGATGTTCTTACAAATATATTTAATAAAATCATAATAAATTGTTGTTTTTATATTAAAGAGTTTTACGACTAACGTCTTTGAAATGTTAGTGTTTTTTATCTATTGTTGTTATACATATATCGGGTTAGGACCGGTTGTTATTGGAATATAGATATAGATTAATATATATATAAATAGTTCATATTATAATATTTCATATAGATAGTTAACTATGTATAATTGTTATGTATTTAGTATATAGTAATACAGGGTATATTGGGTAGTTTTGGATGTATTTATAAAATAGATAGGAATAAATGTCTACCAATAATAAAAACAATCAAAATCGATGGTTATTTTGTTTACGGGGAAAAGCAATTTAAAATGTTTGAAGAACAGTAAATACCCAGTCATATCAATTTTTGAACAGATCAAGGGACACCATTGGGGTTTCTTACTCTTTTTAGAACACCGGGTAGCACTTCTTAATTGAGAATTTCAAATAATTAGTAATCTTGTTTGTTGGATGAAAAGGGTGTGGGTGGAGGTAAACGTCTTATTTTTTCTGCACCAACCTAGATGATTAAGCGGAAATACACCATGCAGTGTTAAAAATCTCGGTTCTACTTTTATTTTCGGTTAGAGTTTTCTTGATTCGCGCCGAACGATGTCGGCTTTTAAATATCTCCACCAACAAAGCCAATTTAAATATCTGTATTCGGAAGCTAGTTCTGGTTTCTTACCAACGAGTGTAATTCAACCTACAGCTTTTGTTTCTACACTAATGTAGCAATACTACATGAGGTTTTGTATTATCATCCATTGTCCTTATGTTGCCTAGGAACGTAAAAGCAAGTCTTTTAAGTTGATAATATGCGTCGATGACAGACCGTATAATATAAGGCACACGTGTAACCCAACACAAACCTCCCCCCCCCCCTCCCAGATGCTGTTATATTTTGCCCAGATCTAAGAAACGTTTCCCTTTAAGTTTCGGGCGTTCCCGAATCTATTACTATATATTATATGTCGAGAATCCACTGTATTCGATCGCCAGTTAGCCAGTCCATATAATGATCCCATATAAAATGACCTATAATATTGAACTGAGAATTCAAAATGTTGAGTGGTGTTTTCATGAAAACGCTGAGATGTTCCAGTTGGTTAGAAATATAACTTTATTCGATGGAAGTATTTACACATGGTTCGAAGTATCAAATTTTGTTCAGTCTATAAGCGAGATTCGCCTAATCTTCTGATATTTGGCCTTTACTCGATATGCGGGGAAACGAAATAAAATGAGTGATTACTTTGCTTCACCAACCGGGCTAATGAAGACGGGCGTACACTACGCAGTGCTACGACCTAATCTTAATTCAATTTCCAGGGATCTTTAACGTGCTGCTAATTGCATGCCTCGGTTTCTGGTCCCATTCGAACGACTAAACCATACGTGTCAGACAAACGTCCATCACCGCTGACAAGGCAAACCACAAGGCGTGATGTAGAACACCGAAGAGCGTGCATCGTATTAATTAGGGATGACTAAAGGGAAATAACTATTACCAAAAGCACCATGTATGGGTGTAGACCACAAGAGGTTTTCTTACTGAATCCAATTGTAATTCTCGTCTGTTTGTTTGGCCAAACTTATTTTCCAATTATTGTCGCCTTGCTCCAACGCGTGTATGAAGCTGACCATATAAAGGATACACAAATTGGAGGAAAAATACTTGTAAACATGTAGCTAGCCTCCGTACATATCATCGTTACCAACTTTTGTTATCCTTCAGTCTTAAAATCACGAATGCTCACTTAACCTCAGCAGAGAAGAGTGTCAATAACAGTTATACGGTGAAAATGTGCCTTCTTTAACATTATTAACAAGGAGTTGCTCTGATATTGCGTACAGGTATATTTTCATATTTCCCCCGAAATATATAGCGGTCAGGGCACTGAATTCTAGACTGGAGAGAGAAAGGCGTTTAATAACGGGGACTAAATTCCGTAGCAATATAAGGGGAGGTAATCGGTGATCTACTTCCAATTTTGAGTGCAGACGAAACCTCTATTTTTGTGGTGTTTTAGGGCAACCTTTTATAAAAAAAAAGAAAGTGGGTTCAATCTCCGACACCTGAATATTTACAAACAGTTCACGTGACTAAAACTAACATTCATTTAAAATGAATTGAAAGGAGAGAGAGGGAGAGAGAGAGAAATAGAGTTTAACGACCACTCAACACAACTAGGACATTTCTGGACTAACCCATTGTTTAATTTCATTTCCATAATTCGTTTGTGCGTAGGTTTTTTTTTTACCATAATGTTCAATTTTATTTGCATGATTCGCTTGCCGGTAGGGGCTTTAGCTGTGGAAATAAGCCAGTGGTTGTACAAGCAACCCTACTCCTTGTCACGTACAAGCGAGGAATCCATGACAGATATCGTGATTTAACGCGCACGTGTTAAACCGTTCGGCTATCTAATCCCCCAGAATTAAATGGACACGGATTAAAAGTCAACTGTCCATATGACTGGATTATATTGTATGATTTGGTTTACGAATTCCTCGGATATTATGTGTGCTAATTATTTCGTATTTAACCGAATGTTATAGAGGGGCAGCGGTAGTCGAGATGTCGGGTCGATAAGGGCAAATTCTCTAACTTCGTAATCATAAAAAATACCATATTTTTCTCAAAATGAACGGACTATTGTGTTTACGAGGCGTTCAAAACCATTCATAAATGTGTCGATATACTTAAAGAAAATGAGCGTCCATTAAAGGGAAGCAACTCCTAAATTATACGCAGTTAAGACTTGCACATCTCTCCAGCATTGATTTCAATATTAAAAGCCATGAATGTTTTGTTAATTTTCTGGCAATCTCAATCTTTATAACCACAAAGAACCCATCTTGTCACAATCACCTGATTAAAAAATCTATAGGTTGTGACGTCATTTCCGTTGGCGTTTATTTCGTAATCCATGTCTGTTTACTGTTTGATCTGTCCGCCTCAGAATCACGAATATTAACCAAAACCTGTCAGAAAATGTAAATTCAAATCTAACCAGAATTATTATCAGAATTCTATTAATATAGACGAATTCTAGTCCTAGTCCATATCGTTGGAGAAAGGTTCCAATCATGCGATGACAAAGAGTTTTTGAATGGAAGCGTTAGATGACTAAAGCAGATACTGCCAGATACACCTGCTTGGAACGAAATCTTAACAAGGCCCATTAGACCAAGCAACTGAATATATGTTTCAAAAGCACATATTACTCAATTTGGAACTAGCTACCGTTAAAGGAGAAGTTCCAGATATCATAGGGCACCGAACAAATGTTCATTGGAGTGTGTAAATGTAACAAAGTTTCGAATATTTTTGACTAGAACAAAGGGTTCGACACTAACTTAACCTATCCAATTTTATTGGCTGAAACATACCTGTACTAAAGACCAGGGTACTTCCATTAATGTCCACGCCATACATAGTAATAATAATAATAATAATAATTTATTTTATTTACGTGTCACGTATTACATCCAAAATATACATACAAACATACAATTACAATAAAAGTGATGAATAATACCCAGCCGTTATCGACTTATGAGACACGATCTAAAAAAAAAATATGTACATTAAGACAAAAGTCAACAGTATCTTTGAACGGACTAAATACATTAAATTAGAAGTCATTGATATATTTACAAGTAAAATCGTCTAGTTTTGAGCATATTTAAAATACAATTAGCAATTAAAGGAATATTTTCTGAAGACATCATGATGGTTAAAAACTTGTTCATAGAATCAGAATTTATAAAATCATCAAAATTGAAGGCATTAAGAAGTTTGTATCGAATAGTTGACCAATCTAGAAAACAAAGGAGAGAGAGGGGGGGGGGCATCTTCCACTCGACATAAACTCGGTCATTTCGAAGTGTAGTGCAATTAATTCATAATTCGCTAGCGCGTAAATGTACTTACCAGTGGGAGGAATCCGGGGACCCCCCACCCCCCCACCCCCACCCACGAGGTTGGGCAGGCAACCTTACTCATAATTATGTAATAGCTTGGGGTCGAAGGCAACTTGAGAAACCACTCGACCACCCAACTCCCTAGACAACATTGAAGAAGACATTCTCAATGTAATACGAAAAATGGTTTACTTGAATTTAAACTATTGGGCTGGTGACTTGATAGTGGTCGTAGTCCCCGATTCTTAAACCCATTATATTCGATGTCTTGAGTCCAAATTTAAATCCTTTCCCCATTCTGGCTATTAGTAGTGACGAGTGCTTACCTTTTGGTGAACACTCCTTAATTTGGAATGCTGAAAACAGGAGGAATTTTGATCTAGTACGTAATATACGATTCTCCTGATTAAAGGACGAAGCAACAACGAATAATTGTTTCGTAGCATCAGTAATTATACACCTCCAGTATTTAATAGGTTCTAATAGAGAAGATCGTTTAATGTAAGATCTAATTCTCAAACTGACTTATATTCTGTAATATGAATGTGATATTTAATGAATAAATTTAATGCTGTTTAGAACCAGTCAGTGTGAAGAGTTGACTTGGTACCCGGTTTGACTGATACTGTATTGTACTATTGTATCATATTACTCGTAAAAAGTGTAAAGGCAAAAGTAGCTTTTTGTCACTTGCAGTAGATACCGAACCAAACCAGGTGCCGCGTCAAATCTCTTCCTTTCTAAGGCCTTACAAATAAGTTAATATTCATCACTGGCACACTGGCTATAGAAGAATTTGTAATCAGTGACCAGCATTGATTGTGGGAGAAATTATAATCTAGATCAACGCTGGCTGCGGATGAGTTTGTAATCTATATTCCCTATACGTTGATATGTTTCTAAACGGTGATCATCACTGACTGTAGATGA